TGTCATGTCTCTTATTTTGTTCTAAGAACATTAGTATAAATTAAGAACAAAAGAAGATCATTGTAATGCCACGAAATCACCTGAAAGAAGACCGCAAGCGCTCCCATGCACGACCTTGATATTTTGATGCAGCTGCCATCTCGTACCAAACGCGCTATTAGACCATCACACACACATTTGTGTGCATTTTCAAAGGCCTAGTGTTCTATGTACACACCCTAGCACCACATCACTCCTCTATATCAGTTACGTCATCACAGGTGTCCCATTTATGACATAATATCAATTATTCTATGATGTTAACGTCCACATCAGCACTATCACTATGTCAACAGTTACAAAAAAAAAAATTCGAAACCACAATTCTAGCCCAATTTTTTTGACTAATTCCAAATTTGTGGTATGTTCTTACATTCAATATATCTAAATAGCACAAAACAGGATGACTCATCTTATTCAATGTCTTCTTAATGAGCTTGTTAAAAAGAAAACATGCTTGCAAACTCCCACTGATTTAGCTACACCATTATGATTTGTACCTTCACCAATGCCTTATCAGTTAACATCTTCAATTCTCATCACAATGAGCATCACCACATATCTGATCACTCCTTCTACTACACTTTTTATCGGATTCAAGGGCTCACACTCGTGTTAGACTTCCTCAATTTACTCCAATTATGGCTACCACTGATATTATGATACTATAGTCACCAATTCCAGCACCAGTGTCTAGCACTCTTGGCAAGTCTTCATCTTCCTCATCTGCATTCTTTGTAACGAAACTTGAGGTAATTCTCAATCAGGTTTGAACTAGAATACAAGGTGCATCTTCCTCTTCGCTTTCTACCACATTAGGTAAGAATTTATGTTGGTATTTTGACTTTGCTAGTTATAATCACATAACATCCGACTTCACTTTTCCTACAAACTCCTACGCCTCACTCACCTGTCATCCACACAACCGATGGATCCACCATAACCATTAGTTATACAAAGACTATTTCTTATTCTCAATTAACCATTCTGGATTTCTATCTTGTGCCAAAAATTTCACTCAATCTTTAATCTATTGGTCAATTAACCGATTTAGGCTTAAATATAACATTTTATTCTAATGGTTGTGTTGTATAAGATCCTTAAATAATATAGATTGTTGGGACTAGCAAGGCGTAAGATTGGATAATTGTTTGAACTCTCTTATTTTTATCTTCTTACTCTCACTGTCTCTGCTGCATCTACACAGGTCAATTCCCCTTCTCTTGAGTTATTGCAGTCTCGCTTAGGTCATGCTTCCTTGCCTCGTGTCTAAACCTTAGTCTCTAAGGGTTTGTAAGGTCAAGTTAAAGTTGAGAATTTTGATTACATTTCATGTCAGTTAGGCAAACAACCTAACTTACCTTTTCATTAAGTGAATCTTGTAATTACGCTCATTTTGATCTTATTCACTCTGATGTATGAGAGGGCCTTCCCCTGTATCCACAATAAGTGAATCACTATATTTTATCATATTTGTTGATGATTTTGCACATTTCACATGGATTTTTTTTTTTATGAAAAATCATTCTGAGCTACTTAACATATATCGTGATTTTACCAAAATGCTTTTAACTCAGTTTTCCAAAAATATCAAAATTTTCCATTCTCATAATGCTTTGTAAAATAAACAAAATGATTTTTTTGTTTTTTGTTTTTAATTACTCAAACATTATGACACTATTTCTCACACATCATACCCACGCACATCATAATAGAATTGGTAAGATGAACGCAAACTTTGACATTTTTTAGACTTGGTTTGCTTACTCACTCTCTCCGCTTCTATTCCTGCCTCTTTTTGGAAGGAAGAACTCTCACTACTGTATACACCATCAATCGTGAACCATAACCCCTTTTGCATAATCAAACACCCTATAATCACCTAACTACAACCACCTTAGATCGAGTTTTTGGGTGTGCTTATTTTGTTCTTCTCCAACCCCATGAGCGCACTAAATTACAGCTACGTGCTCAACTTTGTTGCTTTCTTAGGTATGGAATTGAATAAGAAAGGTATCGGTGTTATGATTCAGTCTTTAAACTACTCAAAGTATTTCGTTATGTTGTTATCTAGGAACACAATATATTTCATACGTTGTCCAAATTCAATATCCATGATGATATATTTCATGTTACTCCATTAACATTTTTTTAAAGACCTTTTTCTTGATTCCCAACTTTCACAATTATCAAGAGCAGTCGATCCTCATTCGATCAAGTCCCAATCATCTAGCCCATCCGAGGTACTTGACAATGCAACTACTTTAGATCTTCGCCGTTCTACTTGGCTAAGAGCACCACCTTCACATCTTAGTGATTTTCATTACTATCATTCTCTTACAATCGTACATGAACCTCACACCTTTCATGAGACATCTTATAAGCATTTGTGGCAGCACACAATGAAAAAAGAGTTAGATGTGCTTACCAAAAAAAACTTGGGATCTAGTTGACTTGCCTCCTTGAAAGTCTACTGTATGATGCAAATGGATTTATAAGATCAAGACTTGATCAGATGGTTCTATTGAGCGCTACAAGGTTCGGCTCATAGCCAGAGAGTTCACACAGAAGTATGGTATTAACTTTGAGGAGACATTTGCTCATTTTTCCCACATTAAGAACTTTTCAGATAGTTGTTAAGAATGTATTTCTCAACGGTGATACCATGTCTTCATCCAGAGAATCCCAAGTGCCCGGATCAATCGAAAGCCTTGTTTGAGGCTTTACCATAGAACTCAAGGAAGTTTACATTCAGTTTCCTTCAGGTTATCATCATCCTCCCAATAAGGTGTGTCTACTTAGGCGTGCTCTATATGGCTTCAAACACGCACGCTCCTCGAGCTTGGTTTGCGAAGTTCAGCTTAACTATATATATCTCGCCTTGGCTACTCTGCTAGCTCCTATGATTCGGCTTTGTTCATTAAACGTACAATCAATAGCATCACTCTTGTTGTACTTTATGCTGATAATATGATCATCACAGGGGATGATATATAGAGGATTCATGAACTTAAATAGTTTTTGTCAGTCAACAGTTGAGATGAAGGATCTTGGACCACTTAGTTATTTTCTTGGTTTTGAGATTACTACAACTATAGTTATCACTCAAGCAAAATACACATCATGACCTTCTTTCGAAAGCTGGCTTAACTGACAACAAGATTGTTGATACACCACTTGAGCACAACACAAGACTCAGTCCACATGATGGCAAATCTCTTTGGAATGACACATTGTATCGACTATTGATTGGTAGTTTGGTTTATCTAACTGTCACTCATCCAGACATCTCTCATACCGTCAATATGGTTAGTCAATTCATGGCTACTCCCAAATGTACTCATTTTGTTGCAGTTCTTCGCATCCTTCACTATCTCAAAGGCACTTTCATTGGTTTCATTTCTCCTCTCAGTCATCACTTGTTCTCCGTGCTTATACAGAACTGGGAGATCCCACGTATCGTCTTTCCACCACATTCTTTTGTTTCTTTTTTGTTGACTCTTTCATCTCTTGGCAGAGCAAAAAACAGACAGTAGTTGCTCAGTCTAATACAAGAACTGAGTACAAGGCACTTGCTAATACCCATTACTACAAGAAATATTTAAGTAATTTTAAATTATGTAGTCTGGTTCAATTAAAACTCTTCAAATAAACAAAGTAAACTCATAAATATTTAGTAAAATATTTAAAAAGAAAAAAAAAAAAAAATACTGAGCATAAATTTTAATTAACTCGACCGCCAACTGACTCGGTCACTCGGACCCTATGTTGGAATACTATCCGATAATTTTTGCTAGACTACCATTTATCAAGGTTCACTTTAACCGTTCAGTGACCACATGACCACAACATTATAATATTATTATATACATTTGTAGAAGGGTAATAATAATATTATATGTGTGTATAGATACGTATAGACAAATCTAAAGTAGAGAGAAATTATTATTTTTCCTGAGGAACTGGGTCGGTGTAACGCCTGTGCCCTAGATCGACCACGCGTCGTGATGTACTTTCTAGTTGGGGGCAATTGCATGTTGTGTGAGGTTTGACTAGTCAACTATCCACCCACTCTTCAATTGTACTCTTCACGATGCCTTGTTTCACTTCTTTCTAACATTGGTAGTGATTGTGGAGTGAGAGAGAGAGAGATATTTCTATTCTTGTAAGAAATAAAATTTTAAATTAAGTAATTTCCGTCATCATTGTTGTCACCTTTAAATAAATTTATTTTATTTAAAAAATTAAATCAAAATTTTATATATTTTTTAATTTTTTTAAAATAAAAAATTATTTTTTAAGTAACAAACTAAGCAAGTTGATAAATTTTAACCCAAAAAAAAGAAAAGAAATAAGCAAGCTGATAAATTCTATCCCTTTCCTTAAGTTCGAAAATTTAAAATTAATTTTTATTACTTAATTTCATATAAATCTTAGTAGGCTTATTTGTTATTTCTTACTGATTCATCACATGTTTATATTAAATATGACTATATCAAGTCTACTTTCTTTAATTTTATCATTTATAAATACTATATTTAATGTTATTTTCATATATAGATTATTATTCTTATTTTTTTTAATTAATTAAATAATTTTATTTTTAATATATATTAGCATTAAGAAACGATAAAATAACATGGTATTGCGTGTAGAGACTGACACATACAAAGCCCTCGTCGCTGGCTTAACAACAAGCGCACATCTCTCCTCTCTCAAACCCTATTTAAATACAAGCTTAACCCACTGCTTTCTCCCATGCAATTGTCTTCTTCAATCTCTTATCCTCCACAACTTCTCTGACACTCACTCCTCCTCTAAATTCTACACTCATTTTGCTGAAAGCTCACTTTTGTTCTCTAAAAAAATTCCATCCCCATTGTCTCTTTAAAGTTCATCTTTTCTGCTCTTAATTTACTCATTTTCTGACAAAAATACATAGCTTTATATATATATATAAGATGTCTAGCCGAAGATCGTCGCGTTCAAGGCAACCAGGATCCTCAAGGATCACTGATGATCAGATCAACCAACTCGTTTCCCAGTTACAACAGCTTCTTCCTGAGCTTCGCAGTAGGCGCTCCGACAAGGTATATATAAATACTTCATTTTTACTTCTCATCCTTGGTAATTTAATCATTTATCAAATATATATGTTTTTTGAATTAATTTCATTATGTAGCTAACTTAAAAAAAAAAAACACACACACACACACTCACACAAATTGTTATTGAACTTTTCTAATTTCAAGTTGAAAAGTGCTAGGCCTCTCTCTAACATTAATTCATTCCATACTTATGCTTTTTAAATGAATTTTTTGATGTGCAAAGCTAGTGAATATAGTGGTGGTTTTTACAACTTTTCACATCAAGTAGGTCTGCTATTATCAGGCATGGACCTAGTGTATAGTCGGGGCAATTGCCCTTGCTGAATTTTTTTTTTCTTTTTTAGTATTTTATATTAGTAATTTTTCCTTGAATTATATATCTATGAAATTTTAATGTTCCCTCTTGAAAAAAAAAAAAAAAAAAAAAATCATTTTTGTCCTCCTTACACAATTTCCTGAGTCCGTCCGTGAGAGTATATTAATATATCTTGTATTTGTTGTAGTGCGCGTTTATGACTCGATTTTTTGATTAATTATTTACAGGTTTCGGCGTCTAAGGTTCTACAAGACACTTGCAACTACATAAGAAGCTTGCACAGAGAGGTTGATGACCTGAGCGAGCGACTGTCGGAGTTATTGGCAAACACGGACACCAGCAGCGCCGAAGCAGCCATTATTAGGAGTTTACTGACGCAATAGATGACCTATTATTGATCATATATTAGTAGTTTCTTGTTTTGTTCTTCAATTCGATCTCTTTCTCTTGAATGTTTTGTCACTAGACTATGAAAGTAATTGCAGTTAGATTGGGTAACACAGAAAATTTGATGTATGCAAAACTGTGGCTGCTTAGTTAAGGAATAACAAGAGGGTACTTACTTGAGCAAGTACTCCTATTTTGTGACATATTGGCGTGTCAAAGTATGATGAACAAATCGGTTTTACCAAAGCATGGACTCATGTGACATGTGACAGAATTATATGAGACTTTGCATATATATATATATAATAGTATTGTTAATAAATAATTAATTGAATGAAATGGGTAATATTTCCATTAAAAAAGTTCTTTCCTAAAGGAGACATATTAACCAGCAACTGAGGGATGATACTTGAGATGGAGTGTTTCAAAACAAACTTTTTTCAACCAATTATAAAAGATGGTTCATAAAACTTTAAAAAGGGCATTAATTAACGGAAAAAAAAAAAAAAAAAAAAAAACTTTAAAAAGGGCATTGCCTAGAGGCTTAGTGTTATAAGAGGTGGTGGCTTAGTGTTATAAGAGAGACTTGTCTCGTATCAGATCTGGATGGAAAAGTGAACGTGTATATATGAGTTGGATGTTAGTTCCACCTAACAGATTAAGCTAGTTTTTTTTATCGGATCGCAAAGCGCTCGACCCGTTACAATTGGTATTACAACTAGACCTATTCTTTGATTCGGTATCACGCCAAGCGCCTAGTCCGGAGGGCTCTCGGTAGTTAGGTGATCTGATCTCAATAAGGGTGTTATGAGTTCAGGTGAGAAAGAATGTTATAAAAGTCCTGCCCTACATCCTATCCGGATAGGGAAGTGAACGGGGGCTTAAGTTATTAGATTGGATCGTGAAACACTCGGGCTCTTACACCTAATTGGTAGAGTGGCCAACTCCCCAAGCGGGTATGCCCATATTGAAGTCCCCTTCATCTATTTTACCAAAAAAAAAAAAAGAAAAAAAAAAAAAGACAAAACAAAAACAAAACAAAAACTTTTTAGAACTATATTTTCAAAAGTTAACAATTAAACAAGTTAGTTTTATATTTTTTAATTTTTAATTATTAGCAACAAAAAAACCATTCTCTCGAAAAACTAACAACCAAACAGGTTATAAGCTTTTTGAGGGCCTAATTAACCAAGATTCCATTACTCTCCGTCAAAGCAAACACTATCTTCTAATTATCAGAGCACTATGAGAAGAGTAATTCTCTTCGTCTTTGTTGGAGTATGGGCATTTCCTGGTTCACGCACTCAAAACAACCACCATTATTGGGCCAGGATAACCAATATTGACTTTTCTCTCCACTAGCATTTGTAATGTTCATATATAAAAATACATTAATTTTTATATACTCTTCAGGCTATGTTAGGCGGAATTGGAATCCGTAGAATTGGAAAAAATTTAATTTTTTTTCAATTTCAAGACTTCAATTTCATACCGTCAAATACAGCTTGAAAACTATTCGAGATAATAATCTGTAAGAAGGCCTATTTGTTTCAATCTATGAAAACTCTAGAGTTACGAAAATATAAACATATAGTTTTCAGTTAACTAAAAAAATATAATTTATTTCATAAAATAATTTTTAAAAAATTGTCATCTTTTGAAAATTGAACCAAGTAAGGCTCATAGTAACTCAATGTTACTTAATTAGAGTATATTTGACAAGACTAAAATTATGCAAGGGATTGACAGCATTATCAACATTATCAGTGATATGTATATATATAAGCTACCAAAGGCTTGCTGATAATGGATCTCCAAAATGGGCTGTAGTTGGGCCGGCTCAGCAAGGCTGAAGGCCTATTGTATGGGACTTCGGATCAGGGTTATTCATGCATATTGAGTTGGACCTCTTCGATCCAAAGAAGCCTTGAATTAGAGATTGAACGTTAACAGACCAGACAATGTTTTAAATAAAATACTCTCCACTCCACCAAGCTTTATTTTCAGCTATTATTAATTCTAATTTTTATTTAATCAATACAAAACCTTTTAATTAGTTATTATGCTATACTTCAAGCATAATCAAAATTGATAGTAAAATCACACATAGATAAATTTATTTTACATGTAGACAGACCATATATATTTTTCTAATTTATTTTTGATTTTTTTCTTCAATTTTTCTAACGACTTAGAATTCTGCAATAATAGGTAATTACTTGTGTGTAATGGTATTCAAAAATTCAATAAAATTACAAAAAAAAAAAATAATAATTAATTTTATTGAATTCTGTTGTAAAAAGTTGTATATATCAATGCAGTTTGGGCCCTGCATGCAAGGTCGAAAAAATACACAATCACAATAATTATTCTTTATTATGTTACGTTACATCCTGTCCAGTAATTGCGATCCCAATTACGAACTATTGCACAAATATAAATATATATGTACACATTATATATACAAAATGATCTCTTGTTCATATATTCTTAGTGCATCAGATACATTTGTCAAAATACAGAGATAAAGAGATGCAAAATGATGTAGTATGCATGTGAAAGAATTGACCAAGAAAGAGTACGAGTTAAGAGAATTACAAACCATGACACATATGTTAATTTTTACATGCTTCCGCACCACCAATTTTGAATTAATTTTCTTATTTCCCGAAGAAAAAGAGATCACTACTATGCATATAAATACCTATAGAATTAAATCGGACCTGAACAATGTTTCACCATCCTCCCATCCCTTTTTTCTCTCTTCTAACAAACAATAGAAATCAATCATTCCTTCCACATTGAGTTAGTGCTGATAGGAATAGTAAGGGACAATCTTGACATTTCAATGCCTTTTGGATTAACTGCAAGGGGTGTCTTTGCAAAAAAATTGCTAAGTTCGACTGTATGTCATAGAGGATAATCTTGGAAGGTGATAGTGCAATTTACTAAAAAAAATTGTATAATTATATAAAAGACCAGGAAATCAATTTACTAAAAAAAATAGTATGATTCCATTTATGCAGAAATCTCGTGTAGTAATTAAAAATTTACATATATAAGCTCTTATTTATGAACAAATTTAGATTATCCTCATGAGTGTTTTTCTGCTCTTTTTCTTGTCAAATACAACCTTCAAAATAATTGAAGAACAAATATAGATAAATTTGAAGTTTGGAAAATATTACAATAACCCATATGGAGATTCCAGCTGAAGGACTTTAAAAAAAAAAAAAAAAAAATTGGGTAACCAAAACACACAACTGAAGACTCTTGTGTGGCTTTAGGATTAGGCATTTAGGCTACCATTTTTATTTATTTATTTATTCGTGATTAATTTACTCAAGACCCGATTAATTTTAAAAACACCCATTTTATTTTTTCGAGCATCATTGATTAAGAAGTTCTTTTCTTGAACTTTTTGCTCACTAGTTTCTCTAAATTTCACAAATTGTTTTGTATGAATATTTTTTCTCTTTAATAATTTCTATACCAAGCTAACTTCACAATAATTATCAAACGTACAATAAATCCATCATATTGAATAAGTTTGGTTCGTTAGATTTTGAGTCCATAGGAAAAAATTAAAAATTATAGTCGAGAACTTTTATCTATTTAATGTATTAATTAACCTTGTATAATTAAATAAAAACTCATGCTCATATGATTTGAAGTTTGAGAGGAAAATGAGAAGTGAGGACAAGAAAAATGTGTGATTTTGAGAGAGAAAAAAAGTAAAGAAATTGGAAGAATGCATTAATCATTGAAGATGATTAAAATTCTCTTCAATTTCAATTTTTAAAGTTCTATATTAACACATTTTCTTACATTTAAAGAATCAATCAAAATGTATAAGTTGTCTGATGGAACAAGTGAAAAATAACTAAAAATAAGTTTTTTTTTTTTTTTTTTGGTTTTGTTTTAAGTTTTTTTTTATTATTATTACAAAAGGCTATATGCCACCACTCTAATGGTCATAAGATGAAGCTGACCTTAGGCTATGTTTGGTAGGATGGGTTTGAAGGGAAAGGATAATATGAGTTATGAAGGAAAGGAAAGGAAAGGATAATTTTAATTTTGTATTGTGTTTGGTTGATTAATGAAGGAAAAGAAAGAAAAGGATAATAATCATGTTTGGGAAAAGGAATGGAAAGAAAGGAAAGGGAATTATTTTAATAAATTGACTATTATACCCTTTTATACTTTAAGAGAGAGAGAGAGAGAGATATATATATATATATATATATATAGTCTCCTATGGCCACAAGAAAAGAAAAAAAAAAATATAGGGCAAATCATTTCAGCCTCCCCAATCTCGCCTCCATCTCTATTAGGCTCAGTTTGGTAGAGTGGAAATGGAAGGAAAGGGAAGGAAAGGTGATAGAGGGTTACTAAAAAACTGTGTTTGGGTAAAATGGGTGGAAGGAAAGGAAATGAGAGGGAAGGGTTTGGAGGGTTATGTATAAACTTTGTATAGTGATTTGCTTATCCTCCCAAAAATGGGAGGAAATGGAAGGAAAGGGAAGACAATGGTTGATGTAATATTTGTGATGTCAATTTTACTCTCAAAACAATATACATACAAGGTAGCAGTTGCAGAAAGAATGGAGAGACGGCGGGCAGCGACTGAAGCTTGCGAACGGCGAACCCGAACTAGAACAGCGGCGATGGAAACTGAAAGATATGGGTTTTGATTTTCTAAACAATCTGAAATGATATACCGATACGGGTTTTGAATTTTTGATTGTTGCAGAAAGATAAACTGAAATATATGGGTTTGGGTTTTGAACTTCTGAATCTTGTGGTGCAGAGAGAGAGAGAGGGGGCAAGTTCAGGGTTGAGAACGATAATAGAGATGGAGGCGATATTGGGCTGAAATGATTTGCCCTAAATTTTTCTTTTCTTTTCTTTTCTCGTGGCCCAACTGCTGATGTAGGAGAAAATGTATATATATATATATATATATATATATATATATATATATATATATATATATATATTTAAAATATAAAAGGGTATATATAATAGAGAATGGGGAGGCTGAAATGATTTGCCCTAATTTTTTTTTTTCTTTTCTTTTCTTTTCTTGTGCAGGTACAGGATACTATATATATATATATATATATATATATATATATATATAAAAGGGTATAATAGTAGATTTATTAAAATACTTCCCTTTCCTTTCTTTCCATTTCTTTTCCTAAATATGATTATTATACTTTCCTTTCTTTTCCTTCATTAACCAACCAAACACGATAGGGGGTTAAAATTATCCTTCACTTCCATTCCCTTCCCTTTCCCTCATAACTAATATTATCCTCCCCCTTCAAACCCACAGTACCAAACATTCCCTTATATATATATATATATATATATATATAGTCTCCTATAGATAGGTGTAACGGGTGGGCGCTTACCCATTTACCCAAAAGCTCTAATTGTTGGGTAGTGCTGCATACCCACCCATTTATACCCATGTCACTTCCCATCCGGATCCGATGTGGGACAAGTTTCCCCTTGTAACATTCTCCCTCACCCGAACTCGCAACGCCCTCGTTGCTATTGGGCCACCCTGCCTACCCGGGGTGGCACACCCGGACGCCTTTTGGGCCGAGCGCTTGGCGTGGCACCGGATCAAGTACTGGGTCTGGCTCTGATACCAACTATAATGTGTGGGCACTTGCCCATTTACCCAAAAGCTCGAACTGTTGGATAGTGCTGCATACCCACCCATTTATACCCATGTCACTTCCCATCCGGATCCGATGTGGGGCAAGTTTCCCCTTGTAACAATAGGCCACAAGAAAAGAAAAGAAAAAAAAAAAATAGGGCAAATCATTTCAACCTCCCCAATCTCGCCTCCAGGCTCCATTTCTATTCTCGTTCTCAACTCTGAACTTACTCTCTCTTTCTCTCTCTCTGCACTACAAGAATCAGAAATTCAAAACCCATATATTTCAATTTATCTATCTGTCTGCAAGAATCAAAAGTTCAAAACCCGTATCGGTATTTCATTTTAGATTGTTCAGAAAATCAAAATCCATATCTTTTAGCTTCCATCGCCGCTGTTCCAGTTCGGGTTGCCTTTCGCAAGCTTCAATCACCAGCCCGCCGTTTCTCACTCTCTCTGCAACCACTAACTTGTATGTATATTGTTTTCCAAACTTGTGTAATCTTGAGGGTAAAATTAGTATCACAACTCCTACATCAGCTATTGTCTTCACTTTCCTTTCATTTCCTTCCATTTTTGGGAGGATAAGAAAAACACTGTTGAAGCTTTGACATAACCTTTCAAACCCTTCCCTTTCCTTCCAACAATTTTTACCTAACACAAATTTTTAATCCCCCTCCATCACCTTCCCTTCCCTTTTTACCATCTTCCATTGCACCAAACTGACCCTTAGTACTTAATTTGATATTTGATAATAATAAAAAAAGGAAAAGAAATCCTTCGAGCATAGTGTAAAAAACTTTCATGAATAACTCCATTGAATTACAAATTATCCACTGAACTAATGATTTATTGCAATTAAGAAAAACCCACCACAACAATTACTTCAGTATTCAGTAACAATGTTACGCACCTTTACTTGGTTAAAATAACGACTAGAATTAAGTCCAACACGAGTAAACAAATGCAACTTAAGTTATTATTATTTTCTCAGAGACACTACCTCAAATAATTTATCAATAGTGATACTATAGTTGCTGAAGCAACTAACCGGAGAATGTGGAGTCACTATGTAATAATTTCTTTCGAAACAAAATGCTAAAAAAAATATTTTTCTGGAGACTTTATTTAATTAATGGGAAAATTTGGTGGCCTTGCGAGACCTACCTAGTCATGCAACTGTAGCGGTATGCATATGGACTCATCCCACATCATTAAAAACTTTAGGATAAAATTATTTTTGAATAATTCAGAAATTTTTGAATCATGTATCAAATTGAGTGTTCCTGTAAAAGAATAGCTTTTGATTGAAGTTCTTTTTAATTTTTGGATAAATTCTACTTACACCTTTTGACTTTTGACTATATTCTACTTACATATTTTCTAAGAATATTTATCATGTTTAAAATATATTATAAGAGAATTATTTGTAAATTCGGAATGTATTTTTTTATTATTATTATTTTTTTTTTTTTGCACTTTATCTAAATAAAAAAATGAAAAAAAAAAACAAGAATTTTGTAAGACAGAAATTTCATCGTTAGCATATCCAATATCTCTCATGTGGGACTTAGCATTTGCTACAAGGAGAAAAGTTGACTACATGGGTCCCACAACATCTAGTGAACAACGACCACCTACCTACGTGCACGGTTACCTATCAGTTTGTGACGTGATTATCAGAATTCAACGAGGCCGGTTTATGAGCCCCCTCCCCTTTAAAGACTGAGATTGCAGAGTGCATGTGTTGGACGGTGACAAATCAGAGAGTACAAAACAAAACCACCATTAAAACTTGTATTATATATATATATATATATATCTCCTTTTTTTTCTTTTCTTTTTTTAACATGTTAATGAAATTAATATTGTATTTCTTCTTTTCATAATATATAACTATTATATTATAGATTTTGAAAACTAAAAATGGATTTTGTATCTCATACAAGAAATTGTTATTATAATTATAAAAGTTGAATTGCATGAGATTTTTATATAATCTAAACATAATCATTATTAGATTATAATTCTCAAACAAGAAATTGGCATTATGGTTATAAAAGTTGAATTGAATAAGATTTTTACTTAATCTAAAACGTAATTACTATTGACTTATATTTTTAACCGATTCAAATAATTCTAATGGAGATCGACTCGATCAGTTTGGATAGTTCCACCAGTTTGATTAGATTTCAATTTAATTTTAAACTATTGCGATGGATTTGATTCTAATTAATCATGTAAATCAAAGAATTCAGATCTTCTTCTATCTTGCACATTTGGGAGTATATTTCAATAAATTTATTTTTTTATTTTTTTTTAATTTTTTTTTAATTTTTTTTTTATTTTTTTTCATCCAATACATTGTAATCCATACAACAATCACAAAATAACATTAAGGTGAGAATCCAACTATTATATAACATTATATTTTTAATTTAATGATAAAATGATTTTATAAACTACACAAATTTACCTTCGTAAATATCAATACCACTCGAATTCAAATCTTCGATAGTACAAAACGAGTATTATACTGCATTAGAAAATTACGATTACTTGCACGTTTGAGTGATCATGATCATCATTGCAATACAACATCGGGCTAAATTGACTCTCCACTTTACAATTCTTTTATTTTTAATTACCCACAAAAAAAAATTACTGTAAAAAAAAAAAAAAAAAGTCTGTAATCCAGGGGTATTAACGTAATTGGGATTTGACAGATGAGCAAGAGCCCCTTCCATTCCAAACGAGAGCACGTACAAAACACAAATGCGGTTTGTTGGGTTTTATTTAACATGACTTCCCTCAAATGCTCTCCGTTTCATCATTTCTATCTCTTTCTCTGTTGCATCATTTAATAGGCATATTAATTTTGTTGGGGCTCAAAAATCTCATGTCCTTCTTCTCTTCTTTTCTCTCTCTCCAAACACTACGGAAGAGAGAATAAGAATGAGAAGCAAAGACAAAGAGTACACAGCTCCAATTTTCAAATATGTGTTTGGACGAGTTTTGAGAATCTTCTCCACCATGGGCAACTGCTGCAAGCTCCCTGTAAAAGCTTACAGCGGTTTGAACTTCAAGGGACCCTCTGGTAATGTGCTTCTCTGGGTTTATTTCTCTTTCATTTTATTTATTTATTTTTGCATGCAATTAATGTCTTTCTCTTCTTCATTCCTTTTTGGGTTTTGAATATTTGAATGTATGAACGAAGACATTTTGTGGGTATTTGTTTTTGATGTAGTTTTCGTTGTGTTTTCTGTTTTTCTTTTTGCTTCTTTGGGCCTATTGATTTTGGATTTCTTAGCACATTGGTCTTTTTCTTCAACTTCTCCAAATTGTTATCATCACATCTTTCTTTTGAGGGTTTGATTGGAATATATATATTATTTTTTTGGGTTTGGGTTGTTTCTCAATGTGTTGCTTACTTTTGTTTTGTTGTCATTGAATTTTTTTTTTTTTTTTTTTTTGGGTTAAATTTTTTTGTTTTTTGAATTTTGTAGCAAAATGGGTTAATTTCTTTTAATTTTTTTTTTTTTCAAATTGCTGTTGGGTGTAAAATTGGAAATTATATGCGGGCTCTGTTGGGATTTGGCCGCTTGTGAATTTGGGTTTTATAACCTGTGTCTTAGGTATAAAGCTAAAATCTTTTGGTGGGTTTTGATGGAAATTAATTTGATTCTTCATTAATTAACATAAATCTGCAAGATAATGGCTTTTTAATGGGTTTGGCTGGCAGTATGAGTCAGAGTTTAATTGTTCTTGTTGGAGTTTTTCTGATTTTGGAACTTACATTGGGGTTTTTATGTTTAAATGTTATGAGATTTCGCTAAGGGACTTGGTTCTTTACTGCTTGAATTAAATTTTAGGCGGGCTAGAAAGCGACTTCTCTAATTGTACTATTGGTTTTACATTTCCTAATGGATTTTAATGTTTCATATAAGGGTGCATTCTGAGAAGATGCATTTCTTGCCATTTTCCGAGTGATGTCAACGACTGGAGAATTATATTTGCGGCATTTACATAATTAGGAACTTTTTCTGCTTGATTTTGTACCTCTGTAATTTAATTTGTTTTGTCGCGATTAGGTTAGTTTAATATGTTTAAATGTGATCAAAAGTGTTTGTTCTTGCCACATATCAATATACTGACTTCTTTAGAAAGTTTTGATTGTGATGGTCAATCTATGAGTAGTAATTTTATTGGAAGAATTATGACAAACTTTTCTGCAATTAAACTGATTGCTTATTCAAAATTAAGTCCCACTGTTTGTGCTCATCTTCTAGGATTATGCTCTGTTCTCAGTGGAATATTTATAATTCTAAAAAATTGAATTGGCAAATTCAGTATTAATATATGCCAAATATTTGTTGTAGTACATTAGTAAAAAACTGGAAAAGGGTGGTTTTGGTGTACATGATTTCAGCATCCATGAAAGTACCAAATTCTTTTCATAGAAAATTTTGCCTCCTAAAGTTTTCCCTTCTTGTTTTGAAAAAATTGCTGCATTCATTCCTGCTTAAAAATAATCCAAAAAATATGTATATCTCTTTGAAAGATTGATAAGTTATACATATACATGTTGTTCATTCCTATATTTGATGACCAAATTTAGTCTTGTTTGTTCAACTTTAAATTTATAGTCCTAATTGATTTTAATTTCTTCACTAATAGTTATTTTAAGTTTAATATATGCTATTTATAATGAAGTTTAATATCTGTGTAGTTTCATAGGCTCAGACAAGGATTACGTCCAATATCCATGTTAAGTTGATTAGAATGGATGCCATGGCTGTTTAGAACAGCCTTAAGGGTGCTCTTCGAAATTCAATCTAACTAATTCAAACATCAGACGTATAAGGAATTGCTATAATGGAACTGGGTTGAACCTACCTTATAACTCCGCCAAACAATGTCAAAAACCAGTCTCTTCTTGTGGTCTGAATCATTAAGGTCCTTATTCATCTTTACTTATCTCTTTAATCTGCTAGCTATATTGGTACCCTAAATGCATTAATATGGTAGAGACTACATTGAAATATAGCTGCTCGCCTGGAGTATCTCTCTCTCGCACAGACTACATTGAAATTCAGCATAAGAAATCCCCAACCGCGATTGCATGATTTTATAGTCTAGATTTCTCATCCTTCATTAAGATGTGAAAGACAGTACAAAGAGAGAATTTAGTTGTATTGGTTCATTGGTTAAAATGATTTATACAATTTATTGAGATGATAAACATGGAGTACACATATATCGGATCTATCTCAATTTAGTGAAATACTAAAATTTCTAATAATGCCAATCTATTTTGTGTTTATATGTATAGGCAATTGTGTACTATTTCATTCATGTTATCACCATATATTCGTTTGTCAGACATGTTCTCTCAGACCTTGAGAATGTAAATATTCCTCAAGGGTTTGTTGGCAAACCTTACACCAAAAGTATAAAAGGACTCAACTACATCCATATATATAAACCAAAGAAAGAACAAGATCCATTTGTATTATATCTAAGGGATTCCTCCGTACAAGTTGTAGAATGCACCCCAATTCTTATCTAACTAACTGCAGTCTATTAGTGTGCGTTAAGATCCCACTATACTGCATTCTTCTTCTTGTAGGTCTTATGCAACATCAAATCATCTTTTGTAAAATTCATCCATGAAGTTGTTTATTTATTTTATGATAGGTAAGGTTGTATTAGAAAGCGTTCAAATGAGGAACGCATCCTGCAAAAGCTACACAATGCCAAATGGGGCCCCTAAACTCTCAAAAGAGTCCAATAAATCAACTATCTCCCCCATGGATTTACAATTTCTCCCAAGAACCCAACAGAAAAGAGAGCTAAGAATAGAGAACTTCAGCACCCCAATAGGAGTCTCCTCTCCATCAAAGGATCTCCTAACCCTTTCTCTCCATTTGCTCCACCAAACACACATGGGTGTAACCCTCAAAAAGTCACGGGCTTGGGCACCCACTATACCCTCTCCAAGCCTCAATCAAACCTCTCGAGGACCTAAGCATAACCCCGAACAAACCCAACAAGGCCCAACATTCCCAAGCCACTGGGCAATGCAACAGAAGATGATCAGCCGTCTCCTCATCCATGGATTTTAAACCTTATTCAGGAATTGAATTTCAATGGAACCTTGGGATTTAAGTGAAATATTAAAATTAAAGAGGCTATTTCTAAGGCTATGATATAGAACAAGTTAAAGATCTAACCTACCTCCTACCATAGATTCCTACTCCCCAGTCCTTTAGGCTTCTCATTGAAATTCTATTGAAGGTTCTAAACTAGATTGTGAGACTGTTGCAGGAGATAAGGAAGGACAGGATTTGTGCTTTGAGCAACCTTGTATAATTTAACATCAAAATCATATATTTGTTAATCTTTATCCCTTTTAATAACTCATTTGTTCATTCGCAGAAGATTCTGAGGAATACCCTAGATGCATTGTGATTATACACAGGCTAGCTGATGCTTCCCAAAATGCATTTCAGTTAATTGGATGTCTAGATTTGAGTTGTAGAAGAAGGATTTTTAGTACAAGGTCTTACCACTCAGCCACCTGTGAATTTAAATGTATTTGAACCAACTGATGTTAAAGAATCAACTGATGAGTTCATTAGCAGTGAAGTACCACTTAAAGCTAGTTTGTTCCTGCAGAATGCATCAATGCATAGCAGTTCATTGGAGGTGAAGAGCTCTTTTGATGTGAGGGTGATAAGAGTAATCAGAATTTTAAATTTGTGATGAGTTTGACTATTGATGGCATCTCAAGCTTTATGTATGCTTATATTTACCACATTGTTTCATATGATCATATGGACACCCATTAAAGAAATATTGGGCTTTTATTTGCTGACAAAACAGGCATCTAGTGGGTGCATAAAATGCTTCGTTGTCCAACACAGTCTTGAATTTGTGGTTTTTATTTTATTTTATTATTATTTTTTTTTTCCAATTAATGGATGAAGAAAATTAAGATGATTGGGAAATACATGCATCTAGAAAGAAACTGAAAAGGGGGCCAAGAGAAGCGGAGATAAGTCTGTTATCTATGAGTATAAATGTAAAAAAATTCAGGACCCTTCTTTTTAATTATAGTATTCCAGTTTACAATTACCAATTTTGGCTTTATATATTAAAAATATATATTTTCTATGAAGACTTGCACATGGCTCTTTGCTAACTTAGCTACCACAGGGGGGGTTATGAATTGGTATGTCATGACAACTCTAAATGGTAATAATGTTATTGTAAATTTTGTGAAAAAGGACCTTGATTATTGCGATGCTTAACTAATTTAGAGTCTACTAAATGACTCTTCTATAAGGTTGCAAATGAATTGAGTTGAGGCAAGCTCGAGCTGCTCGTGCTTGGCTTATTTGTTCGTGGCTTAACTAGGGTTTGTGCCAAGTTGAAAAATCTGAGCTCGAGTTTGGCTCAGGTTGTTCGCGACTTGGCTTGGCACTTGAGCTTGTGAAAGATACTATCTTTTAAAATTTCTATTTATATATATATATTTAAATTTTTTTATTAGTTTCTCTATCGAAGGTAAGAAAATTGTATGTATGTTCATGGCCTATGCGAGTTGTATGTTCATGAGCATACACAAACCACATGTGTACGAGCCTATACAAATCAAGTCAAATATTGTTCAAGGCTCTACTTGATTAACAAGCGATCCTAGAACCGAGCTCTCTTTTGGCTTGTTCACTTAATAAACAAACGAGGCGAACTTTAAATGGGGCAAGCACAAGTTATTCATGAATATCTCGTTGCATTTTCATCTCTACTCTTCTAGTAAAGAATGCACTCTTGCAACTAATTGTAAATAAGTTTGTCAATGGTAGTTGGTTAAACCAAAATGCCAACCTAAAGGGGATCAAAGATTTCCATGCAAGCTTTGCTGGACAAGAAGCATCAGCCAAGTCAATGAAGGATGAGCAAAAGGATTCAATAAGAATAATCTTCAGCTACTAGGTGGCCATCCCTTGATGTTATCATCCATACGAACAGCTAGGTGGTCATAGAGTCTCACTAGAAGGCGTTGAAGGCTTTAAGGGATTCCCCTTCTGGATTATATTAGGCAAGCCCTATTGGTGGATAAAGTGAGGCAATGTGTGCTTACAAAATTTTGCCTCTTTCAGCTTAGTTTTATGGTTGATTTTTTTGTTCTTGTTCCTTATACGATGGCACAACTAGTTAAAAATTGATTTCGAGTGCAAATATGGGCAATGCTAGAATTGTTACTCATAACCTTCTAAGTTACATTGATGATATAGGTAGGGTTGTGTCCTTCACTCTCGCTTCCTCTGGAGCCAAAGTTGCCATACTAAGATTGGTGGGGACAGTATTGTTGAGTCAAGCATTTTTCAGAGGCAAAATTTATGGTGGTTATTGGTATCATACTATAATGATTCAATTCATTTAACATGAAAAGATATATTTTGCTCCTGGATATCTTGAATCTGCTTCGTTAGGAAAGGTATTCGAATATTAAAGTGCCATTAAGTTGGCTTTCTTTTCATGGACAGCCTTTTGGAGGAACTTTTTAACTTTAATAGTTTGGTGCTTAGGACTAAGATGCTTTCAAATTGGCATTCACTGTTAAGAGAACCAAGTAGATTGTTAATCATTGTCTGGTGCATTATTTTGTGGCTAGGGGCTTATGGTAACTTCCTTTTACACTTCTTGGTTGAATTGAGGGTATTTTTTTTTTTTTTTTTTTTTTTTTTTTTTTTTTTTTTTTTTTTTTTTTGTTGTTGTTGTTGTTGTCTTTTTACTTTTTATGAAATTTGGTTAGTAAAAAAGTTTTTGATCAACCCATCCCCCCTCCTCCTTCCTTCCTTCCTTCATTCTTAAAAGAATTGGGATTGTATTGAAAGCGGCTATTTTGTGTTGCCAAGTCTAAAGATCCATTAGAAAGCGTCAAAGGTAGTGCAAACTCATTACAGGTGTGGCATAAAATCCCACTCTCTCTCACGACTCTTCCTTTCATCTCTCATCTGCAAAAATCTTTGCATCTCTCACTTTTGCTTCTAACTGATAGGCTTCTTCCTGCTGCAAATGGAGATTATTTTGAGGAATTTTTGTTCTTCGCTTGAAGACACCAAAGGCGCAGATAGCATTGTTCTCTTGCTTGTAATATATATTATATTTTCATATATATAGAGAGAGACACACACATATATATACGTAGTCCTAAAGAACAAGTATATCGATATATGTGTATGGCTATGTGGAAACTGGAAACTAGGCAATGGAATGCCTTGGCTTGACCTAGGTCTGATCATATTCGTGTATCGTTTTTGGGTTGGATTATCTAGGGATTTAAAGGATCAAACATGGATTTTGAGACCAAACTCTAAATATTTGACCTGACTTGGATATGGATTCTAAGATTAAAATATGGATTTGTATGGATCTGCTCCATTTCATGCCCTGGTCCTGGGTATAATTTCTATATTATTTAGACTTTGTATATTTTTTAGAGAGTTTTGAAAACCAATCCACAGCTTTTTTCTATAGCACCATATTCTGTGTCTGACTGAATCGAAGCAAGAAGTATATCAAATACTATCATATAATTGACCAACCGGGTGTTTTTGTTAATTTCAAGGAATTAATTAAACAATCATGAAAAGCAGACTTATGGGTTAGCAAGTTTGTTGACAGTCAGCAGTAAAGTTCAAGGAGGGAAAATGTGTTGTGTCTGGATCAGAGGTGACTAGGTGATTCTAGGCAGTAGAATCTGGTAACTGGTTTTGTAATATCTTTCTTAATAGTGGATTGTTCGTGCCTGAACAGAGGGTCCCGTGATTTTTCCCTTTCTAGGATTTTCCACATAAAAGTTTGTGTCTCTACTTTACTTTAATTTACTACTTATTATGTTTGTGTTTGTGATCAAGACACGTGGATAGCTGAACAAACTATAAAATTGACGAGGGTAAACAGAAATTTGAGAAGTTTGTTATTCAATTAGTATCCATTAGACGCATTCAACCCCCTTTAGGTTTGAATTGAATCATCTGTACTCTAATGTATCAGAGCATAGGGTGCCAGTCTATTCCCTCATGTCAACACCTGTTTTTATATATCCCTGTTGGATATCATGCTGCATATGCTTACCATTGAATCATGATTTCTTTAAATTGATTATGCTTTTGTAGTGCCGTCAATGCTCTTCTTCTCACCTATCATCACCTTGTTTTCTATTTCAGAAGCCAAGAAATATGCCCATAATATTGGTCATGCTTCATCTCCTCCCGGTCTGACAGTTCAGTCATCAAATGAGAAGGGTATAGCTCGGAACCTGCCAAGTGCAAGATCTGAGAGTGAAATTTTGTCAACGCCAAATTTGAAAGCCTTCCTTTTTAGTGAGCTAAAAGATGCCACTCGAAACTTCCGTCAGGACAGTCTTCTTGGGGAAGGTGGTTTTGGCTATGTTTTCAAAGGATGGTTGGATGAGAAAACCCTTGCTGCTTCGAAGCCTGGATCTGGAATAGTTGTGGCTGTAAAGAAGCTTAAACCTCAAGGCTTCCAGGGCCATAAGGAGTGGTTGGTGGGTTTCTTTCATGAATCATTTCTGTCTCTTTCTTAAATTTTGTGGCTTTTATCATTTGTTGATAGCTATCTGTTGCAGTCGGAAGTGAATTATCTTGGCCAACTTCATCATCCAAATCTGGTGAAACTTATTGGGTTCTGCTTGGATGGTGATAATCGGTTGTTGGTGTATGAGTTCATGCCTAGAGGCAGCTTGGAGAATCATCTATTTAGAAGTATGTCAATCTTGTTCTAACAAATTTCTGAAAGCACTGTTCTCTTATTTGGAAATACAGTATATGCTCGTGTGCCTATACTTGATAATCCTTTGATGGAATTAGAAAAAAAGCTACCAACTACTAGATTTCTGGTTCTAACTTGCAAAAAGAGTCGTTTTTATTCACAAACTCAGAAACTGTGGTCGTTTTTATTCACAAACTCAGAAACTGTCTTATTTGCAGGAGGTGCACAACCACTTCCTTGGGCAACAAGGATTAAAGTTGCCATAGGTGCTGCTCGTGGCCTCTCTTTTCTGCATGACTCTGAATCACAAGTCATATACCGTGATTTTAAAGCTTCTAATATCCTGCTAGATTCGGTATGCTGTATAAAAATAATTGCTCTACTTTAGCTGCTGAGCAGACAGCGCAATGTGATTTTCAGGATCCGTCCACTGGGAATTGGTTATAATTCCCAGAAAGTTGGACATTTTTTTCCTTCACCCTTAAATTTTGTTGATTTAGTAAATCCAGTTCTGGCATGTGCTTATTTCTCAAAATCATTGTGGTTTAGCCTCTGACTTCGCTCTTTGTATATGCAGGAGTTTAATGCAAAACTTTCGGACTTTGGCTTGGCAAAAGCAGGCCCTACAGGTGATCATACTCATGTATCTACTCAAGTCGTGGGCACTCATGGGTACGCTGCCCCTGAATATGTTACCACAGGTCTATTTCTTTCCTTGATCAAATTAATTTTGCTTACTGCATTTCAGTTTATATATAAACTTGTAATAGCTGGAGTTTTATTGATGTTTTTAAATACATTCAGAGAATAGCTCCTGCATATTACTGCCCCAGTTGCCGTCACTATTGTCTAACTCCGGAATCATATCATAAAATTATATGCTTTTTGATCCTTCATCATGCATTTGGATCAACTTCCCATCTAAGGTTTGATGATTATCAGAATACCACTTGACTTATATGGGATCTGTAGGATTGCTGGACTTGAGAATTGACTAATGCAGTTGAAACAAGTCATTGATTGAATTGTCTTCAAATGGTCATACTCGATAAAGATAGGCATGCATATCATGCCCTAATAATGATAGCCTTGCATTAAATTTATTCATTTTGGACTATTGCCACTTCTGTAAAAATCAAGTGACATTAGGACAACTGTAAAAATATTGATGTCTTTATATGGTTTCTGTTAGGCTAATGTTATGGGAAGCTTATAGGTTCAAGGTCAAGCGTGGAAGAAAGGTTGTAGGATACAGGGATGAACTGGGGCCTGGAATGGGCTTTATTCTAAAGGTGATAGGCTGTAGGAATTTTAGAGTGCTAGTTCCTGAACTTTTCTGGATAGCAAGTAGTCAAGTACTTTAGGGTCTTAGGTGCTAAATATTTTTAAGGTAAGGAAAAACGTCAATGTTGATTAGCATTTGGTAAGGTATAGTTTTGTGAATAAAATAAGGGCTCTTTTGGAGCTGTGAACGGTATGTGGACAGTAAACTTGGTGGTGGTTTTGGGTTGTTAGGGTTGAATCTCCGGTGGTGCGAAGGATTCTTCGTGACTTGTAGAGGATAGAGAATCGTAGAAAAGAAGAGAAGGATGAGAAGAAGGATAATCTTGGAATTTTACTTATAATACCTTAGGAATCATCACAAGGTTAGGTTGCAAAGAAAGGTGGCTTGCAATGAGAGCATTTGAGGGAGAGAGACGATCCTTCCTGGAGGTGGCAAGAGTCCCTCGGTTGCCCCCCACCAGCGAGGCTCAGAGAGTTCAGTAGGAATACCTTCAGGATGGATGACTGGAGCATTGGAAGGAGATGTGAAGGGCTGCATTCCTGTTTGGTTTGGTGTTTCGACATAGCCGTAGGTGGTGTAGAAAAGATTGCAGCATGGGCATCTAAGGTTTGGAAGGTGACGTGGGGGGTAGAGGTGACTCCATTGTTGGATTCACTTCTACTCTTGAGATTCTTATCACAGCCCTGGTGAGTGGAGGGTGAGCGACTTTCAGGTAATGACAGAGAGGAGATGGCTGAAGGTTATGATGACAATTCCCTCCACCTAACGATGCCAGTTTGGGGGTGGAATGGGGTGGTGGGCGTAGACACTCCTTTGGCTGCTTTTAGGGAAGTTTGAGAGGAAGGTAGGGGCATAGTTCCGTATATGGAGGGGCAAATGGGGATTGGTTTATGGGGAACATTGGGGAGGTGGTGAAGTCTTTGGTCCTTTCTTATGCCGGGGAAGATGGGAAAGCCTGTGACTTGCTTCAATCATTGAGAGTGAGTGGAAGTTGGTGAAATGAAAGAAGAACCCTTCTTGGAAGGGGGAGAGAGCTTAAAAATCTTGTCTCTTATGTGAAGTATGATTCCAGGAGCGGAGGGGGGAGTGAGAGGAGTGTGAGAGGGAGGAAAGAGCGGGGGGAGATACATTGCGTGCCCATGAATCTCAAAATTGTGTCATGGAATGTTTGAGGGTTAAATGACCCGGACGAGAGGAAGGTGGTAAAGGTGTATATTCACAAAAGGAATGCACAATTGGTTTGTTTACAAGAGTCTTCAAGTTGTCAAACCCTTCGGTTGGGGTGGTGAGGGCAATTAGTCCTTAGCCGAGTCTGATGGGTCTAAGCTGTTGTCTCCAGTCCCCATTCTGGAAATAAATGAATAACAGCTATGATATCACTAAATCTTTGAAGCACAGTACTATAAGGCCATTCTTGAGAAATTTATCCTTCATTTGGATGAAAAATTTGCCAGCATTTTTATTGTAGACGACCCCCCTCACTCGCTCGTATTGATTGAATAACCTCAGCTTTAGAAACTTGTTTAATCAGTAACCATGGGTTTTATATTTTTGTCATCTCTATATTGTTCTTGCCTGCAGGTTAACAATCTTCTTTAAAATCTTTTAACCATTACATTAGCATCATCCTTTGGACCATCAAATGGGCAGTGCCGTTTTTGTTATTATGTATTTGGTACTACAGTCATTCTAATTTATCCAGCTATCCCTATCGCGTAGAATTCTTAAACAGCATCATTAGTGATTCTTTCAGCTGCTGCAAACAACTCCGGTTTTTGCTGTGTAATAATTCCAAGTTAAATCATGATTTTAAGGCCAACGGAATACTCTCATTATTTATTTATTTTTTCTTCATTTGGCTTGGGGGCTTGAGGTGCATTAAAACGTCCCCTTAAAAAATATAGGAAACAATACCCTCCATAAAATGATTTTTCCCATTGGACAGGTCGGTTGACTGCAAAATGTGATGTCTATAGCTTTGGAGTAGTGCTGTTGGAGCTGCTTACAGGGCGCCGAGTTGTTGATAAATCTAAAGTTGGTGCAGAGCAGAAGCTGGTGGAATGGGTGAGACCTCAGTTGGATAATAAGCGCAAATTATTCAGAATCATGGACACTAAGCTGGAAGGACAGTATCCTCGGAAAGGCGCTTACATGGCTATCGTTCTTGCATTGCATTGTGCAAGTTATGAAGCCAAGCGTCGGCCACCAATGTCTGAGGTCTTAGCTATTCTAGAAAAGCTCCCATCCCCGAAATTCTCGACCATGCCTTCCCCTTCGGAGAATAAATCGGTTCCTAGCCCTCTTTCCAAGTCACTTAAGCATGACCACTCTTCGTCTTTGAACTCGACTCCTCAAGGCTCCCCTTTGCCAGCAAACAAGAAATCCCCACAGGGACGATGAACGGGGTAAGTGTTCATGTCAAATGAATTCTCAATGTAAATCCCCTTCTTGGAACTGATTTCTGGGGTTAGAATTTAATCATATAAATGTAAATCATTTTTATTATCAATGTAGTTGTGATCATTTTAATCATAATCATTTTTTTCATGCTTATAGATGCATAAGTGGTCGGCAACCTATAGGAATGGTAGCATAGACATTTCACCAAATAACGGGTTTTTTATTTATTATTATTATTAAACATTGGCAAGAAATACACTCACACACTCTCACTCCATACACTTTTTGCTCTCACAACCAAGCTTGTACCCTTCCCTACCTTTTTGACACTTTTTGTTTACATTTGGGCTCGAACCACTCCCCTCCTCTCCTCTCTGAGGATGGAGGTTATACCATTGGAAACTTGGTACCAAATTCCTGAATAATCAAGTTCAGATTATTAATTACATTAAAGTTAAGGCATGTAATAGTGATGTTAAACTAGGGGTGTTTATAAAATAGCAATTTTCTTTTGTTTTTTTTTCTTCAGAAAATAGAAATTTTAAAAAATTAAGTACAATTACAGTGATATTATAATAACAAAAATACATCTTTATATAAATTTAAAAAAATTTAGGTTTTGTATAAAATGATTTTTATTTTAGGTTTTCTTTTCCTTTTGTCATTTTTGAAAAATAGAAATTTAAGAAAATTTTGCAAACTAAGCACCATTAAAATGAAACCGCAATTTAACATCACTTTAGTAGTGCGTAATCTTAAGTCATCATAGCATCACTAATTTTAAAAAAAATTCCTGAATTTGTATTTTTAGAACATTTAAAAGAAAAAAAAATGTTTGTCATTATAAATTTTATTTAAATTTATATTAAGGGATATTTTCATAATTTTATCATCACTTTAATCATTCATAATTTTAAAAAATATATTATTTTTATAAAATAGAAAAGAAAAAAGAAAAAGAAAATTTAAAATAAAAATCATTTTAAAGCAAATCTAAATTTTTAATAAAAAGTATTTTCGTTATTATTGTAACGACTCAAAACTAATACTTTTTAAACAAAAAAAATTCGGCATGACCTCCCCTAAAAATAGGCCTTTCACAACCTGTTTAATTGCATTTTTAACCTGTCATGGCTCAAATTCCGAATTCACGGCAACAAAAGATAATGATACAACCAACTAATCTAGACAATGCTTCAAACTAGGATTATCCATCCATTCATCAACAAGTTGCATACTATCAAATCCCCATCCAAAACATCATCAATACTTTAGTTATATTACATGACAAAGTTCCACAAAATAATTATACATCTTTGCACTTCTAGTGTTTTACAAAATAATGGGGAATATACAAAGATACAAAAGTGGACTTCTAACGCTGTTCAAGCTTGAGGTGGGTTGTCATCCACCAATTCCTTTCCAAGACCTGAAAAAAATATATATAGATATAGGGGTGAGCATATAGCTCAGCAAGTGACACTTAAGACACTATTCTTGTGTCCTAGTGAATCCAAATAAAGCATAGGCCAATGAGAGATTGGGGACATGCATTGAAGGGGAAAAATAATTACAAGTACAAGTCAAATTCAATCACACACAAATGCAAATGGAGTGAGATGCAATATATGCTAAAGTCACTCCCCGTTTTCTTTCTCAAAACCATCACGTTCAAAGTTAATGTAACCCCCTTTGGTAACCCCGCCGCGACGAGAGGAGGATTGGCTATCGTCCCTAGGCCCTTGGTGACCCCGTGGGGCCGTTGAGGGGCCCGAATAGCTCAACCACGCTAGGGTACTCTCCCTAGTCCTCCCTAGGCTACATTAACCTCCAGCCCGTTGGTAACCCCGCAGCGACCGGGTTTGTCAAGACCAATTTTTTTCCAAAACATTTATTCCCAAATCCCCATTTTCATTTCAAGACAACCACTTCCCTTTTTCATGCAACCTAATGAGATGTAGGCTCATGTCATGATCTCAATATAATGACAAATGGAAACTTAGCACAATAATAAATAAGCATGTTCTCATGGCATCATTATAGCATGTTAGTAACCTCAAAAAAAAAAATGTAAACAACTATCACATAGACATACTTTTCATTCAACCATGTTATACACATTTACATAACTAGCATGTTGTCAATTAAATCATTTTAATCAAAATCAACAACAATTAAACATGCTATAACACACATAGAGGAGCATGATTCATTATAGAGCAAGATTCCATGGCTTAAGATGTCCCTACCTCACAATCCAAGCCGAAATCCCTAGAATAGGTCCTCCAAATTCGAGCTCCAAGGAAGACTCAAAACTGAAAACTGATAGTATGGATGCGTAGAGCTCGCTACAAGCTTCGTTTTGCCTCAAACGGCACCTCAATCCGGCAAAAGATGAAGGAGCAATCAACAATGGAAGTTGAAGTGAAAAGAAAAGAAAAAAGAAAAAAGGAGAAGCCGAGAGCAGTCGGGAGAGAGAGAGAGCAGCAGAGACCAATTTTGGTCTCACAAATCACTTAAAAAGTGATGTGGGTCCCACTTTATTTTATATTTCTTTTCTCTTTTTCTTTTTCATTTAAATCACACACCACACACACACAATTATGTACACAGACTTCACATTCTCCCCAACTTTAAAAAAAAAATTCTTCCTCGAAATTAAGACATACCTGAGGAAGAAAACAACGCTGGATACTTGGACCGAACCTCTTGTTCAAGCTCCCAAGTAGCCTCCTCGACTCCGTGGTGTCTCCAAAGGACTTTCACCATTGGTATTGTCTTGTTCCTCAACACCTTCTGCTGAGTGTCAAGGATCTGAACTGGTCCTTCCTCGTAGGAAATAGCATCATCAATATCCATATCAACCCAACTCAAAATGTGAGATGGATTCGGCTCGTATTTTCGTAACATCGATACGTGAAAGACATTGTGAACTCTGTCCATATGTGGTGGTAAAGCAAGTCTGTAGGCAACCTCTCCTACCCGATCCAAAATCTCGAATGGTCCAATAAATCGTGGCGATAACTTGCCACTCTTCCCAAATCTCATTAACCCCTTCCGTGGAGAAACCCGTAGAAAAACGTGGTCTCCCACCTCAAAGGATAACGGTCGTCTCAGCTTATCCGCATAGCTCTTCTGTCGGCTCTGAGCTGTAAGTAACCTCTGTCTTATCAACTTAATCTTCTCAGTAGTCTCGAGTACAATGTCGGGTCCTAAGGCGGCTGTCTCGCCTACCTCAGTCCAACAAACAGGAGACCTACAAGGTCTACCATACAACGCCTCAAATGGAGCCATCTGGATGCTCGCCTGATAACTGTTATTGTAGGCAAACTCAATAAGTGGAAGGTGATCCTCCCAACTACCTCCCAAATCAAGTACACATGCCCGAAGCATATCCTCCAAAATCTGGATAGCACGCTCTGACTGACCGTCTGTCTGTGGATGGAATACCGTACTAAGATGCAACGCTGAACCAAACGCTGCTTGAAGTCCTTCCCAGAACTTCGAAGTGAACTTAGCATCCCTATCTGACACAATGGTTACAGGGACTCCATGTAACCTTACAATCTCTTTCACATAAAATACACCAAGCTTCTCTACATCGTCTGTTGCCTTAATAGGCAAAAAGTGAGCCGTCTTGGTCAATCTGTCAATGATGACCCATACGGCCTCATTGCCCCTTCGTGACCTTGGAAAACCTGTCACAAAATCCATAGCGATATGCTCCCATTTCCATTGCGCTACAGGTAATGGTTGCAACAAACCTGCTGGCCTCTGATGCTCGGCCTTCACCTGCTGACGGTAAGGCATCTAACCACAAACTGTGCAACATCATTCTTCATCCCGCTCCACCAATACTGACGTCTCAAATTATGATACATTTTAGTACCACCTGGATGAACTGCAAAACGGGAAGTGTGAAACTCCCGTAGGACATCCTCACGATAAACTGTGGAAACCACCAACAAACCCCTGAACCGTAGACCCCCATCTACATGCAAGGCCCAATCTTTCACTGTCTCACCACTAGAGATCAAAGCGTGGATGGCATCTAAGTCCGGGTCCTGTCTCTGTGACTCAATCACTCGTACAACAAGAGTAGGCTGAGCCACAAGACTAAATAAGAATGTCGACTCACTATAACCATCATCATCAAAACACTGTAATCCCATCTCTGCCAGATCTTCAAGCATCTTCCACTTCCGAATAGCTAAACTGGCCAAAGTTCCATGAGATTTTCGGCTTAAGGCATCAGCTACAACATTTGCCTTGCCCGGATGATACTGCAAATCAAAGTTGTAATCTTCCAAGTACTCAACCCATCGTCTCTGTCTGTTGTTCAAGTCCTTTTGGGAAAAAAGGTACTTGAGACTTTTATGATCTGAAAATACCTCGAATCTCTCACCATACAAGTAATGTCTCCAACACTTCAAGGCAAATACAACTGCCGCTAACTCCAGGTCATAAGTAGGGTAGTTGTACTCGTGAGTCTTCAACTATCGAGACCCATAAGCCACTACTCTACGATCTTGCATCAACACACATCCCAACCCGTCACGTGAAGCATCACAATAGATCACATAACCCAAGCCACGCTCAGGTATCACCAACACTGGCACTGTAGTCAATCTCGTCTTCAACTCCTGAAAAGATGAATCACAGGCCTCATTCCAGACAAACTTGACCCCTTTTCGGGTCAAACGGGTCATAGGAGCTGCCAAACGGGAGAAATCCTTCACAAATCTTCGATAGTAACCCGCTAAACCAAGAAAACTGCCGATCTCAAACACATTCTTGGGTCGCTCCCAAGTCAAAACTGCTTCAACCTTTGATGGATCAACTGATACTCCACCTTCTGAAACAACATGCCCTAAAAACTTCACCTCCTGTAGCCAAAACTCACATTTCTCGTATTTGGCATAAAATCGGTGCTCCTGCAAAATCTGTAAAACAATACTCAAATGGACCTCGTGATTTTCCCGAGTCCGTGAGTACACAAGAATGTCATCCACGAAAACTACCACAAACTGGTCCAAGTAATTGTGAAAGACGCGGTTCATCAAGTCCATGAATGCCGCTGGCGCATTAGTCAAGCCAAAAGGCATAATAAGGA